TAAAAATCGATACCCTTAGACATTGCTTATTAGGTCAATTTCCATAAGGCTCCTTGAATGCAACATAATTCACATTTGTTTCTATACAGAACAATCCCCTGCGCTATTATACATGCTGAAAGCTTCCCATGCAATGAGCAAGTACCACTTTACAATGGTTAACAATTTGTACAGGGAACAAACTGTAATTGATTTCAAGATCCTCATCCTCACCTACAAGGCCATTCACGGCCTCGCTCCCTCCTACCTCTCCAACCTACTATCCCCCTATCTACCTGCCCGTACCCTCCGTTCCTCTGGCTCCGGTCTGCTCCACGTCCCCCGCCCCAACCGCCCTACCATCGGTGGTCGGGCCTTCAGCCTCTCAGCCCCCAGGCTCTGGAACTCCATCCCCCAGTGCCTTCGCCGCCTCCTCCCTTTCCTCCTTCAAGGCCGGTCTCAAAACCTTTCTCTTTGACCGAGCCTTCAGCTCCCCTCTCGACTCTCTTCCCCCTCCTCGCTCCCTCCCTTCCCTCCCCTCACCCTGACCATTTCCCCCCTCCTCCCTCCCTTCCCTCCCCTCACCCTGACCATTTCCCCCTGCTCGGGTCATGACCCAACTGTGCAGCGCCTTGGGACGTCCTCCTGATGTGAAAGGCGCTTTATAAATGGAATCTTGTTGTTGTTGTTGTTGTAATCAGGATGGACTGAAGTCATAAAGTCATTTAATTCCTTTAATTGGTTATGCAACAATTTTAGAAGCAATAATAATGAACCTTGCATATGTTACAGCACCTTTCCCATCGTGAGGACATCTCAAGCACTTCACAGGATTTATAGTTAAAGTGTAGTGACTATGTATATTTTTGTGGGCAAATGTGTCAGCTAATTTGCACACAATGTCTCAAAAACAGACATGAAGTGAACGACCAATTTGATCCGGGGGAATTGTGGGCCAGGATATCAGAATAGTATCACAGGTTCTTTAACATCTGAACAGGCAGATGGAACCTCGGTTTAATATCGCATCCAAAAGATGGCACCTCTAACAGTGGAGTGCTCCTCCCAGTACCGTACTATCTGGACTCTACATCTCACATCAATCATCATGCAGCGAAACAAAATACTGTGCAGTATCAGCAACAGACACCAGATTCTACCAATTGGGAAGCGAGGAGGTTTCAATAAGAAATTGACAAACATCACCAAGGTATTTTTTTTAAATTGCAACTATAGTATTGCGCTTTATAACAGATGAGCCTGTCTTCACATTCACTCACTGTCAGTGCTGTGTCAACAGCAGTTGAGCAGTGATGCATACAGGGAGCGAGTTAGACTTGTCCTGCTTTTTCACACACATCAGTGGAACCGGGTACTGTACTGTGCAGACAGGCAACGTACACCAGACTCCCACCACAGTGGCTGTTTTCAATAAGAGGAAATTGACAAATGAGCTCATGCTACCAGAATATCCGAGCCGCTACTCTGTGTCGAGCCCACAACGTAAATACAGGTTGTTGTTTCCTGACTTGAAAGGCGCTACACAAATGTAATTTTGTATTGCAGCATTTGTTTATTAAACACGAGGGAAGTTTATACCTAACTTCACATCAGAGGCAAAACAATGCAAAACAATCTCTCACTGGGTGATCATCCTCACTTCAGGACTGACCCACACCTGACTCGGCGGTTTCCGATCTTGTTTCGTCCACAAAACATACAGACAATTCACTTTACAATATATTCTGTGAAGTGCTTTGGGACACACCGAAGACGTGATAAGGCGCTATATCAAATGCAAGGATTATTATTGTTGTTATTATTATCTTCAATGCGGTGATAACAAACACATGGCTGCACATTGGCACTAACGTATCTGGACTATGAACGGCAGAACTGGTATCAAAACAGATGATGGTTAATTATTGTTGTGTATAAACAACAAAAACACTTTCAGAAGAAGAAACTCCATTGCCCCCAAGTTAATGAGAAAACAACCAGAAACCAAAACTTCCTCATTTCAGAAAACAAAAATAAAATACAGGTTATGTGGGCTAGATTTTCTTTGAAAAAAAACATTCAAAACTATACTTTATATATTTTTCTTCCTCACTCATGATACAAAATGACCCTGGACCACTGAAATACTAGATTCACGTGAAATACCAAGTCCTTCACAAGTTGTTTGCCAACAGATTATTTTGTTTTCCTTTATTAATTTTAAAATAAAGGTATATTTCGAAACGGTGAAGCGAGCCGGCACGCAGTGGGGCATTGAGATTTCACGTGAATAATCCTGATGGACAAAAAGAAAAAATATATATATATATATACACCTTTTAATTTGTGCTCCTCAAAGGCGTATCTGGATTCAGTCGTATCCATATGCCACACATACACACACACACACACACACACATGAGAAACACAAATACTCTTGTATTTGGGGGAGGGAAGGAGAGAAACAAATCCTGAGCCAGTTTCTTTGCTGGACAATGTTCTTGCAGATGAAATGACTGAAACGCTTTGCTGTTGGGGAGGATGAGATGAGGATGAGGAGCTCTGGCTACTTTACAATTCACTGAGCTGAGCACTGAGCAGCGACCAAACTGGAGCCACAGTTTCCTTAAACTCCTTGCACACAGATGCAGCAGATTATTACACATTCCCCTGTCATTTCCCCGCTGAGAAAGGCACGGGTTTCAGGCCAAGGGGAAGTTTCAACCAGGAGGAGAAAGCAGGGAGAAGTTATCAAATGCAAGGATTATTATTATTATTATTATTATAACTTCTACGCACACGCACACACAAACACTCTCACACTCTTTCTCACGCACTCACTCTCTTTCTCACTCACACTCTCTCTCAAACACTCTCCCTCTCTTTCTCTCACACACACACACACTCTCTCTCTCTCAAACACCCTCCCCCCTTCCCCTCCCACACACACACATTCCTCTCCCTCTCTCACACACTCCCTCTCTTTCTGGCTCACACTCTCTCAAACACTCTCTCCCTCTCTCTCTTTCTCACTCACACTCACTCTCTTTCTCACTCACACTCACTCTCAAACACTCTCTCTCACACACACTCTCACTCACACACACTCTCCCTCTCTTTCTCTCACACACACACACACACTCACTCTCTGAAACACCCTCTCCCACACATACACACATACACTCTCTCCCCCCCCCCCCCCCCCCTCTCTCTATCTCTCCCACACACACACACTCACTGGGAGGGGAGGGGGGGAGGATGGGAGGGGAGGTGGGGGGGGAGGATGGGAGGGGAGGGGGGAAGAGAGAGAGAGAACAGTGGTGGGGTCTCCAGCCTTTTTTTCAGGTTGACAGGAATAAGTGAAGAAGAGTGAAAAGGTGTTGGATGGACCATGTCATATGATGTGTGGGGCTGGCAGGGGCTGGCAATGTCTGTGTGTGAGTAACACACATGATCAGCCAGTCAATCAGTCAGTGATCACATACATGCACACACTCACATACACACACAGACACACTCATACACACACACTCACATACACACACAGACACACTCATACACACACACACTCACATACACACACTCATGTACACACACTCACTCACATACACACATCACACACAGACACACTCATATACACACACACTCACATACACACACTCATATACACACTCATGTATACACACACACACTCATACACACACTCATATACACACACACTCATACACACACACACTCATATACACACACTCATATACACACACACTCACTCACATACACACATCACACACAGACACACTCATACACACACACACGCTCACTCACACTCACAGACGCACTGTCACACACAGAGACACACTCACACAGACAAACTCTCACAGACACACACACAGAAAAAGCTGTGGGGCAGTTCACGCCTATTGCCCTCTGCAAAAGCCCCACAGACGTTTCCCAAACTGAGTCCATAACCTTTAACACCTACTTTGCAAAAAAACACACACACACCCCACCCCCCACCACACACACACACACACACCCCACCCCCCACCCCACACACACACACACACACCCCACCCCACCACACACACACACACACACCCCCCCACACACACATACACACACCCCACACACATACACACCCACACCCCCCCCCACACACACCACACACATACACTCCCACACACACACCACACACACACATACACCCCCCCCACACACACACCCACACACACACACACCCCACCACACACACACCCCACCACACACACACCCCACACCCCCACCCCACACACACACCCCCCCACACACACACCCACACACACACACACCCCACCACACACACACCCCCACCACACACACACACACCCCACCACACACACACACACCCCACCACACACACACACCCACACACACACACACCCCACCACACACACACACACCCCACCACACACACACACCCACACACACACACACCCCACCACACACACACACCCCACCACACACACACACCCACACACACACACACCCCACCACACACACACCCACACACACACCCCACACCCCCCACACACACCCCCCCCACACACACACCACCCACACACCCCACACACATACACCCCCCACACACACACACCCCACACACACACCCCCACACACACACCCCACACACACACCCCACCACACACACACCCCACCACACCACACCCCACCCACCACACACCACCCCACACACACACCCCACACACCCCACACACACACACCCCCCCACCACACACACACACCCCACACACACACACACCCCACCACACACACACACCACCCCAACACACCACACACACACCACCACACACCCCACACACACACCCCCACACACACCACCCCCACACACACACACCCACACACGCACACACCCACACACACACACACCCCACACACACACACACCCCACACACCACACACACACACCACACACACACAAACCCAAACCCCCCCAAAAAAGTTGCAAGACAGCCCCTGCCTACCTTCCTCCAGACTGATGTGGGTGTCCAGAAAGGGACTCACAGTGATCGGTTGTTGCTGTTTTTCTCTCTCTCTCTCTTTCTTTCTCTTTCTTTCTCTCTCTCCTGAGTGGAGTGAGTGAGTGAATGAGTGAGTGAGAGAGAGTGAGAGTGCCTTGAGCTCTGCTGGAAACTTGAGTGACGCACTGCCTTCCCTGCCCTCCCCCTCCCTGCCTGCCTGCCCTCCCTCCCCTGCCTCCCCCCTGCCTTGCCTGCCCTCCCTCCCCTGCCCTCCCTGCCTGCCCCCTGCCCTCCCTCCCCTCCTCCCTGCCTGCCTGCCCTCCCTGCCCTCCCTCCCTGCCTGCCCTGCCCTCCCTCCGCTGCCCTCCCTCCCCTGCCTGCCCCCTGCCTTGCCTGCCCTCCCCTCCCCTGCCTGCCCTCCCCTGCCCTTCCTTGCCTCCCCTCCCCTCCTCTGCCCTCCCTGCCTGCCCTGCCCTCCCTCCCTCCCTCCCCTGCCCTCCCTTCCCTGCCTGCCTGCCCTGCCCTCCCCTGCCTGCCCTCCCTGCCCTCCCTGCCTGCCCTCCCCCTGCCCTCCCTCCCTGCCTGTCCTCCCCTGCCTGCCCTCCCCTGCCCTTCCTTGCCTCCCCTGCCCTCCCTCCCTCCCTCCCTGCCTGCCTGCCCTCCCTTGCCCTCCCTTGCCTCCCCTCCCCTGCCCCCTGCCTGCCCTCCCCTTCCTGCCCTGCCCTCCCTTACCTCCCTTGCCCTCCCTGCCCTCCCTGGCAGGTCTGCGTTGTCTACAATAAGCGGTGAGGAAGGCTCCTGGTTTAAAAGAGACGATGGCATCTCCCTTTAAAGGGAAAGGCACTCCAGGACACATGTCAGGTTGGCCTGGGGGAGTTATTCCTGCAGCTCGGGTCCCCCAGAGCCCATTTGATGCCTATTAAATGCAAATAATAATAATAATAAAAGAAATGGTATTGCATTCGAGCTGTTAGTCAGATCCCCTCTCTCTCTCACTCACTCTGTGCAGAGTGTGACAGCAGCTGCTGGTGTGATTTTTTTTTACTTCTCAGTGTTTCGCATCTGTCCCTGGTGCAAAACAGTGAAGGCTTTTTTTTTCTCTGACTGCTCTTGTGTGACATCAATGCAGCCTTTCCAAGGGGGCAAAAGGGTCGGTCGGGTTGTGAGCACCGCACCGGCTTCCCATCGCGCGGAGGATGCAGTTCAAGATCCTGGTCCTCACCTTCAAAGCCCTCCGTGGTCTCGCTCCCACCAACCCACCTCTCCGACCTCCTAACCCCCTGCCATCCTGTTTGCTCCCTCCGCTCAGCTTCACGTCCCCCGCCTCGCTCTCCCCACTATCGGCGGGCGGGACTTCCGCCACTCTGCACCCACCCTCTGGAACTCCATCCCGCAGTCCCTCCGTCTCGGCCCCTCCCTCGTCACCTTCAAGACCCTCCTCTTCAACCGTGCTTTCAATCTCCCTGCTTCCACCCTCTGCCCTCCCCCCTCCCCCACCTCAACCCTCAGCTCGGGTCCGTAACTGTCTGTCCAGCGCCTTGGGACGTCTTCCCCGATATGAAAGGCGCTATACAAATGTAATTTTGTTGTTGTTGTTGTTGGATGGAAAGGCGAAACCATTGGGACTCCATATTTGAAGCGCTGCGGGACGATAACCCACGCGAAGGGAGCTGGATAAATGCAAGTTGTTGTTGTTGGTTACGATCATAAGAGCATAAGAATTCGCTAGGCGAAAGAAGACCAATGTCCATCCAGTTCGCCTCCCACCATCCTGGCAGTCGCATGCCATGTCCCAAATTATATATTTAATCCCCAGATATTATTTTCTAATAAGAACCTAAGAGTTCACTTGGCAGGCGAAAGAAGATTCATATTTCAAATTCTGTTTTCTGTGAGTAATTGCACCCCAACATGCCTGCTCTTGATAAACTATTAATAGCCGGTAAACCTTTAACATGGAGTCGTGTAGCTCAGTCGTTAGACAGCTCGCCTCACAAACGAGAGACCTGGGTTCGATTCCTGCCAGGGTGAAACCTTGGGCAAGTTTCCTTACTCCACTTGCCTGATAATAATCCCTCAAGAAAAAAAACAATAATAAATTGGTCACTTCAATCCATGACTGTTTGTGGGACACTGCTGTGTGCAATTGGCTGCCGCGTTTCGCCCACAGATATACAGTCAATTCACTTTACAGTATATTCTGTGAAGCGTTTTGAGACGTCTCGAAGAGTGAAAAGCGCTATATCAAATGCAAGGATTATTATTATTAAGTTTAATATCTTCAGCCTTTGCCGTCTTCACCATTTCCTCCTTTACCTTCAAGTATCTTTTACCTCTGTATTAAACTGGTTTGTACTAAAAGTTCACACCTTTGTGCTGCCTTCTCACTTACTGATGTTATTTCCACGTCGCAACATCGAGTACTGAATTCTCTGCTGCCTCTTTGCATCATTAAAAAAAAATCATTGCTGCAGCTCCAGTATTATATAACACCGTATAATAGTTACAGTCAGTCGCTGAGGTGACAATTGTACAAGGTCCAACAAGATATCATGGAACTCCTGGCCAGTATTTTATTAAAACTGAAACTTAAAGGTTGATCCAGTTTATTAATTTGGTACACCACAACATTTTTATAGTGTAGAGAAAGGAATATATTTATTGAGAAATCCACTATATCTTCCCATTGTCAATCATGGGTAAATAATATTTGTTATTATTTGAGGCATTTGATATAGTGCCATATCATGACGTTAAGACGTCTCAAAGCACATCACAGAATACATTGTAAAGTGGATTGATGGTGTATTTTGTGGGCGAAACGCTTTGGGTAAGCAGCCATTTCTCTCCAGCTCTCTTAAGCTGTGAGCCTGGGCTTTTTGTTTTATGAGACTTCCTGGTAGCATAACTTGGATTTATCAGCAATGTTATTCTGAGATTTTCCAGCTATCTCCTTAGTAAGGCTGCAAAATAACAATGTTTCTCTGCGCCAAAGTCATCACCTAAACTCCCCTCTTGTGAGGCAAAATTCCACCTGGATCTAGATTTATTCTATTTACAAAGCAGTTCAAAACATCCAGAATTTGGCAAGTTCTTAAATCCAACCGTAATTTTGAAGCCAGTTTTACATAAGCTCTTTCCAAATCTATGGAAAACAGATTTCACAGTTAAAGCCGAATTCAACGACTTGCAACATTCTGCATAGTTTTTAAAAATGGTTTGTAAACAATAATAATCCATGCATTTGATAAAGGGTCTTATTTGTCACACATGTGTGTTATTTATCACACAGAAGATACATTTGAAGATCCTGGTCTTCACCTTCAAAGCCCTCCATGGCCTTGCTCCCCTCTACCTCTGCAACCTCCTAAACCCCTTACCAACCTGCCCGCTCCCTCCGCTCAGCAGGCTGTGGCTTGCTTCACGTCCCCCGCCTCGCCAGGCTACCATTGGCGGGCAGGCCTTCAGCTACTCTGCCCCCACCTTCTGGAACTCCATCCCGCAGTCCCTCCGCCTCACCCCCTCCCTTGCCTCCTTCAAAACCCATCTCAAGACCCTCCTCTTCGACCATGTTTTCGATCACCCACCTTATCCCTCTGCCCTCCACCCTCCAGCTCGGGTCTGAAACAGTGACTGTCCAGCGCCTTGGGACGTTCTTTGTTGCCTTTGTGATTATTAAGATGTCTCTAAGTGCTTCGCAAAATTGTAGCGAGAAGTAGTGTAGTGACTGTGTTTTTGTTGGCAACCACGCCAACAAAAACACAGTCACTGCACTACTTCACACTGTTTTTGTTTTCGACAGATTTGCACATAGCAATGTCCCAGAATGGCCATGAACATATTGAATGATCAACTTGATCTGGAGTACTGTTGGTCAGGACATCAAGAAGATCTCCCTTCCCTTTTCAAATAGTGCCAAATAGAGTAAATCCAGCCCTAGGGGGGAAATTTCTCTCCTTTGGTTTATACAGCACCAATTTAACTCCTTCCAGCTGCACTGCAATCAGTTGTATGTTTTTTGACATACTGCCTCGTGGCTGGAGTTGTGACAGACGGCTCGGATGCCCAGGTAGCTCAGCTTTCTGTTTGGGCCTCCCGTGGCTTTCTGAGGTTACCTGTATGCTGTGTCTCGTAGTCATTATTGCACACTTTGTGGAGGTTTGTCGATCGAATGTACCTCAATTCATCCACATGGACATACTGGCACAGAGTATTGTTGAGTACCTTGTTCCTTACCGTGAGTTCCTGTTAAGGTCATAGTGGCTGCTGTGCAATTGGGAAGCTTTAAACAAGGACAGCACACAGTGGCAGCATGCGATACCACAGTGGAAATGCATGTGGTGGATTTGTGCCAATGGTAGCCCAATAAAGTCAATTCCATGTCTTGAACACGCTCCCTTACTCAGTCCCTCTGCTCAACTGATTCAGGGTTACTTTGGGTCACCCGCACACTCCGTCGCACCACCAAACCTTCAGCAACTTTGCCTCCAATGTATGGAACTCCTTCCATGTACCCCTTGCCTCCTCCACCCCTGTCTTCAAATCCTTTTCGGCAGGAAAAGGACTAAAACTAGGTGCCATAGGTTAATTTGTGTAAAACCATCACGGTGACTATTTTGAAATCAGTAAAAGTCTCTAAGGAATTACAATCTCCTTGCGTGAGTCATTTTATTATGTTTAAACTCAACCCACTGTGCCTCCCTTGTTTTGTTTATACAAACTTGGAATTGTTTTAAATTTCTGCTGGGTCTGTGCTTTGAAATCTTATCAGGAAATACTTTGTTTCCTGCTAACATCAATTACAATACTTGAGAGTATTTTACAAAGTAACTAAAGCCAGTCACATTTATCAGTTAGATCTTACACTGTAAAAATAGATACTATTTTCAATATGCTATGAAGCATTTGCATTTTGCATTTATTGGCAAAGAACTGTGAGGTATTAAATGTATTAAAAGACATGGAGAAAAGGCAACAAAATGCATTTAAGGGATCTGCCATGTTCTAATAAAATTGTGGCACAGGATTGATGGACTGAAATGGCTTACTCTTTCCTGTTCCTATCTTCGTACAACATTGATATAATTACAATAATTCAGGCCATATT